GATGCTAGAACAAAAGACTCCAATACAGCAATACTGATGCAACACGTGTTAAGTGATAGACAGTAAATGAATATGGAGGCTGATAGTGGTTTAGTGTAATTGTATTTCTACCTCTAACAGGGCCTTGTAAGCAATGTATGGACTTGATCCTGGGAGAAATAGGGAGCCAAATAGGATTTAAAACGGGAAGTGAAGAATCAGATGTCTATTTTCAAAGGACTGTTCTGGCTACACTAGAAAGAATTTCAAGAGGAACAAGAGGTAAAGCACTTAGAAAGCTGGAGCATTTATCCAAATGAGACACTTAATGACCAGAACTAGAGAATGGCAGGGGGAAAATAGAGAAAGGGACAGATTTGAGAGAAGTAGAAGCAACGTGTCTGAATGTTGAGGCAGCATAGCATGATGATTGACATCATAGGCACTTAAATCAGGAATTAAATCCTGGCCCCTTACTTACCAATTCTTTAACTCTTAATGGTGCGATAATAGTACCCATTTCATGTAGGCTATTAAAAGGATTTACTGAGATAATGCAGTTAAAGTGCTAGCGTCATATCTGGCACATAGTGTCCTAAGTATTAGCTTTTAACTGTTGTTGTTGTTCTAATTTATTCAAGGTGGCTCTCTGGAATTAATATATAAAATATCATTTAAAATTATTCAACTCTTTCCTCAGCCCTCCTCTGAAAGCAAAACAAAAAAGATTTCCCTTATCCCTTAGTATTTGTTTTCTAAAGCTGTGGTGGAAAAATTAACAGACTTCCTTTATACAGCCTCATTTGATTTATCTAGTTATTTCTCACCTCCATTTTAATGTCACTAAAAAAAAGACAATTGGACCTCTACACTCCCTCAAAGGAGGAAGGATTTTAAAAAAAAGGATAAGACTGAATTTCAGAGTGTCAAAGTTAGTTTATTTAAAATCATCTTTTGTATCAGATTGGGTTCTTAAAACAGCTTTTGGTACAAAGGAAGGACTTTGTAGCTAACTGATGTCTACATTAATTTCCCCCTGTAGGTATGAGGATATATTATGGAATCTAAAGCCATAAATTATAAGTATAAGAAAGAAGGTGGTCTGAAATCAGGGAGACAGTGGGGGCAGCTGTTATTACCCCTCTCCTTCTACAGGACCAGCTTGTGTTGGGGCATTGTTTTAGTACTTTGGATTGTGATAGGCAGTGTCTTACTGTCTTCTGCCCCTCCAGCATTCATTTAACACTTAACTAGGGTGTGTGATAAGGCCCTGGTTAACCCTTCCAGTCTCATCTCAATACTATACTTTGCCTGTTTAGATGTTTCTGTAAAGGAAAGCTCATCTCATGCTGTAGTAGAAGAAAATGCAAAATGAATAACCAAGTTCCATAAATGACCTTCAAATGAGATATTATATTTGATATTGGTTTTTAAATTATGATACAAGAATGACTAGGATTTGAAAAGAAGAAAATCTCTTGAGGACTAATTTGAGCAAATGTTCTGTTTTCCAGTGTGATTTGACAAGTGTCTTGAGGGTCAGCAAATATTCTACTCAAAGCAATTAATTGTATTGCCCCCGGGTTCTAGGCAGTTAGAATATGATAAAATCCTCTTTAATACCATTTTCTTCAATATATTTTTAAATTTCTTTGATTCATGAGGTGCCTCAATTCCTAGAAATTATTGTGGATTGAACCTCTCCTCATCTGATACATTATAAATATTGCTTTTCTGAATAAATTGTGTTATATCTTTCCAACTGGTTCAACAAAGGACAGCCTTACATTTGGCCTCCATTTGGATATGTACATTTTTAACCTAAGTTTTGGTATTTAGGCTTAGGATATAGAATTGTAGTTCTAGACTAGCCATATCATTTTAAAGATGAGAAAATTAAGCCCAGGAAGGTGATGACTGACTTGTGTGGTTGTCTGGTGGTCTCAGTGATGCTAGAGCTGTGTTCTCTCTCTGACCGTGTGTTTTTTCTACTTCAGAGGCTACTGCTTCTCTAGGGGGATACATACATATTTGAAAGGCTAAATAAATGATATTTTAATATTTATGAGCATGAAATTGTCGTGCCAAATTTTCTCATCTCAAATAATATGTTTATATTGACCTAAACAAGAATGAAATTGTTGCCATTACAATTTATTATATTTTAAATCACAACCCTATTGATTAAATTGTCCTCCTGATTATAGTGTCTTTTTTTTTTTTATAATTTTATTTATTTATTTCTTTTTCCCCAAAGCCCCAGTAGATAGTTGTATGTCATAGTTGCACATCCTTCAGTAGTCTGTATGTGGGACACGGCCTCAGCATGGCCGGAGAAGCGGTGCGTCGGTGCGCGCCCGGGATGCGAACCCGGGCCACCAGCAGCAGAGCGTGCGCACTTAACCGCTGAGCCACGGGGCCGGCCCCTGATTATAGTGTCTTGCTTCTCATGTGGTTTGCTTTAAAATAATAATATCGAAGGTAGATGTGTGGATGCTCACAACATAGCAAGCTTATTTGGTTTTCAGAATTTATTTCTGGAAAATGCTCCTTTGTTCTCGTGTTAACATTTAATCTTGCTTGTATTTTCTCTCTTCCCATAATCAAAGTGGAAAGAGACAGTATACTTTGAGGGTGGGAAGGCTATGCCACTACAAACTGATAAATTTTGACACCATGAAGAAGTTACTTAATTTCTGTCTCGATTTCTTTGCTGTGCTTCCTGCTAGAGGGTGTTATTAGGAAAAAGAATAGGCTTTTCGAAAGGCAGGTAGTATTAAAATAAGCCAACCTTTTTACTGTGTTTTATACCACTGCTTGTGGAGTAGATGGGCTGATGATCAGACTGTGCAAAATGATAATATATAAGTGTATCTCCCACATGATTAAACCAAACTATAAAATTTAGCTGTGACTTTGAGGGAGTCTTCAAATCAGTTCTTAGGCATTTCTGGTGCTTTATCAAATTCATAACTTTGAACTATATGGTTTAATTTATCCTGCTTTTAAATGTTCTCAAAAAGTCAAGATACAGAGGTTACAGGTACATGTAAAGGAATTAGTCTAAAGGTTACTATTGGACTTTGACCAATAGTAACCTTTGTGTCAGCTTTCCAAGTATACTGTGACTTGGAAAATGGCACTGACCCCCTCTAGTGGCCAAAAAATTGTGGGGTTTTTTTGTTTTGTTTTGTTTTGTTTTGTTTTTATTTTTTGTTTTTTCATAAAAAGGATTGTTATAACAAAGGTGTAGTCTCATTACTGTAGTATTTAAAAGAAGTAAACCTTGTTCTAATATAGGGCATGTTCAGGGCCGGCCCCGTGGCTTGGTGGTTAAGTGCTCGTGCTCCGATGCTGGTGGCCCGGGTTCGGATCCCGGGCATGCACCCAGGCACCACTTCTCCGTCCATCCTGAGGCCGAGTCCCACATACAGCAACTAGAAGGATGTGCAGCTATGACATACAACTATCTACTGGGGCTTTGGGGGGAAAAAATAAATAAATAAAATCTTTAATATAGGGCATGTTCAGTAAGTGTTTCACTGAACCCAAATGGCATTTTATGTTCATGAAAAACTTGTTCAGGAATACTGCTTACAAACACACAAATTTGGAAAAGAAGGGGTATTTTTGCAAGGCAATTTGTATGAGGTATCTTAAAGCAGACATGTTGAAAGGGGAAAATATTCCTACAGTTAACTGTGTTTAAATTCCACATTATTAATTTTAGCTAGAATTTGATGTTTTCAAAATGCTGTATTGGTGATTAGAGGTTTTAAGTAAGCTCAACTTCTTTTTTCTTGTGTAAAAGCAAGTGGGATTAAGAAAAAGCCAGCCTTTAAAGTATTACCTAAAATCATACCGATAAGATTTTGAAAGCATGTTACAATTTTTAATAACATTTAACAGTATATCAATTGTGACCATAAAATAATTTTTTCCCATTTTCATCCTTGCTCCTCTCACCCCATCCTGCCATCAGAAAGCAGATCTTATAAATTCAGGATGTGTGTTTTGCCTTCAGACACTCTTGAGAAGCCAAAATAGGTGTATCAGCAACATTGCCACTTTTCAAAATAGTTTTATAACTTCTCTTTTAGAATTATTTTTAACCCCTATGAAAGTGTTTTTAAAATATTGATATCTTTGATGAGATTAGATTTTTGAGAGAAATCCAAAACTAAATCTGAGCCATGTCATGTGAATAAGAAAGGCAGTCAAGCTTAATTATACAGTTTGAAGCTATTCTTTTAAAGTAGTGAGACTTTTAAATTTTTATACTGCGACTCCCAAAAATGATTTGAGATAGCTCCATTTTGTGGAGCTCCATATCATGATAGCTCCATATCATAAAATTACTCTAAATGTTGTGGTATAACCATCAGGAATGCATTATGCAATAGCAGCATCATTGGCACAATTATAGACATTTCTAGAATGACTAGTTTTTAAACAGTGAGGATTCATTTGTGAGTGTATACATATATTTGTTAAACACTTAAATTGCTTATATTTAAGGTTATCTCAATGTGGTTACTGACTGAAATAGAGTGACAAATGAATCTCCATTATTTAAATTGAATAACAATGGAATTGATGTTCATTAGTGTCCTGTATTTTCTTTTTCCTTGGAATGATTTATATAATTTATAATGGAATTTATTTAAGTGAAACTTTATTAGAGGTAGAAATAGAGTTATGCTAACTTTGCTTATGCAAGCAGATTGCCTGTATTTCTTGAGTGGACTCAAACTGCTAATTATTGTTATAATAACCTTATTAATTTATAGGAAAACTTTTGTTTTAAGTGTTTTTTCCAGTTTTATTGAGATATAATTGACATATAACGTTGTATTGGGTTAAGGTATACAACATAGTGATTTGATATGTGTATGTTATGACATAATTACCACAATAAGTTTAGTTAACATTCATCACCTCACAGTTACAATTTTTTTTTTCTTGTAATGATTAAGTATTTTTTGTTTAATTTTTTTCGTATGGTTTACTTTCTTTTTCAGACTGAATCTGGATATGGATCTGAATCCAGCTTGCGTCGACATGGCTCAATGGTTTCCCTGGTGTCTGGAGCAAGTGGCTATTCTGCAACATCCACCTCTTCATTCAAGGTTTGTAGTTATGAATGCTTTAAGTTAAGGCAACATAAATTTGAGTTTAATACTGAATGTTGTGAACAGAACTTATTTGATAGTTTTTTGAAAGAATTTCTATAATGTAATTTGTTTGAAGTTGTTATTGAGTAGTTTTTTACGGACCTACACATGACTTATCAAGCCATGCTGTGGCAGGCATCCCACATATAAAATAGAGGAGGATGGGCACAGATGTTGGCCCAGGGCCAATCTTCTTCAGCAAAAAGAGGACGATTGGCAACACGTGTTAGCTCAGGGCTAACCTTCCTCACCAAAAAAAAAAAAAAAAAAAATCATGACCCATACAAATATAAAACGAACACATGTCAAGATTTCATTTCATTCATTAATGAGATAAGATGTAAAGAAAAAATTTGATTCAAAGGAGAATCTGAAGAATACTGAAATGATTTTGCTAATATATGCAAAACTAGTCAGTATCCGCAGATTAGTAACCCATGTATCTCCACTGGACAAAGTTCATTTGCATTTCATGGACAAGAATCATTTACATTGCTCTCAGTTTTCTGCTACTTAAAGAGTTGTAAAATAGCTCAAATGCAATGAAATCAAAGACTTCTATATGGTTAGAGGACACCCTCTGCTAAGGGTTCCGTAGATGACACTCACCATTCCTTTGAAAAGGCACCCAGTAATATTTTTGCCCATTTCAAAGTCTTTCACAATTTTTCCTCACAATGTGTAATTTGAAAATATTAAATGTTATTTAATATCTCTTATTTCGTCTAGGCTTATCACAATCAAGCCACTAATTAGTGAGTTTGAAGTCTATTCCTGGGAGTATTACGTTGAACTTGACAGCTCTCCCTACCCCATGCCCTTAGTAGTAACATGTAGACCTTAAAAGGTGATGAAATACCATAGGACTAAATAAATTCTAGTTTTGTTAACTTGGATTACATTCCCCCCCTTTTTGTGTTTTGCAGAAAGGCCACAGTTTACGTGAGAAATTGGCTGAAATGGAAACTTTTAGAGATATCTTATGTAGACAAGTTGATACTCTACAGAAATACTTTGATGCCTGTGCTGATGCTGTCTCCAAGGATGAACTTCAAAGGGATAAAGGTTAATTAAGCTATTACCACTATTTTTTCTTGGAGAATGAATGGATTTAAAGTTTCTTAATCTTAAAGGGTAATGTCTTTAAGCAATAAAGGTAATTATCGTCACTTTTGCTGCAAACCCCATGTAACCAATTTCGGTGTCCATATAACTTGTGTACTTTAATAACATCCTAATTAATCTGATCACCCATACCAGATACCACTGAAGTTTTTTAAATGCTTTTAAACTCTTTATTCCATTAAAAAATATAATGTCTGTCATATTGGTAATATGGGGCATTTCACATGATTATGTCTAATAATTTACCCTATGATGAGTCTTAGTGACAAACATATTTATGTTAAATCTTCCAGATTTGGAATCGATCTCTTTCTCCCTCCTCTTCCTCTCTCTCCTCCTTTCTCTCTTCACCTCTCTTTCTCTCCCTCTCTGTATCTCTGTATCTCTCTCTCTTCCTCTGGCCTTTTTCTCATAGAAGAAATCAGTAATGGAGCTACATGTACATTTAAAAATAATTTATAGTGAGTTTTTTTTTTTTGAGAGAGATGTGATCTTCAGGTAACTTACTTATAATGTGAGTTTTGAAGTTACTTTTTCTTTGTTACTGCTAAAGATTTTACTGAAGTCGTCAACATCTGTTCTTCAGTTTTTCTCTTAAGGCAAAAATGAACTACTCATAGCTGTATTACTAAACAGCACTAAGTTCATTCCCAGTATAACTAGGTTGCTTTATGTGGTTTCATTTCTTGGTCTTATTAATTGTGTTTGATCTGAGTTCAAATTCCTTTTGTCTTTGTTCCCTTTTTCTGCCTTCTTTTGGATTATTATTATTTTTTTTTTTTTGTAATTCCATTTTTTATCTCTTTCTTGGCTTTTTAGTTATAACTCTTTGTTATTGTAGTGGCTACTTCAGGGTTTATAGTACAGGCATACCTTGGAGATATTGCAGGTTTGGTTCCAAACCACTGCAGTAAAGCAAATTTCACAATAAAGCGAGGCACACGAATTTTTTGGTTTCCCAGTACATATGAAAGTTATGTTCATACTATACTCTAGCCTGTTAAATGTGCAATAGCATTATGTGTAAAAAAACAATGTACATACTTTACTTAAAAAATACTTTAGGGGCTGGCCCAGTGGCGCAGCGGTTAAGTGCGCGTACTCCGCTTCGGTGGCCCGAGGGTTCGCAGGTTCGGATCTCAGGCACGCACCGACGTACCACTTGTCAAGCCATGGTGTGGCGGCGTCCCATATAAAGTAGGGGAAGATGGGCACGGATGTTAGCCCTGGGCCAATCTTCCTTGGCAAAAAGAGGAGGATTGGCATCAGATGTTAGCTCAGGGCTGATCTTCCTCACCAAAAAAAAAAAAAAAAAAAAAGACTTTATAGCTAAAAAATGCTAACCATCATCTGAGCCTTGAGTGAGTTGTAATCTCTTTGCTGGTGGATAATCTTGTAAAAAACGCAGTATCTGCAAAGCACAATAAAGTGAAGTGCAATAAAACAAGGTATGCCTGTATGCACATTTAACTTGTTACAGTCCACCTTCAAGTAATATACCACTTCATGTATAGTATAAGAACCTTACAATAATGTATTACCATTTCTCCCCACTACTGAGGCAAGACTCTTTGGCGTTCTCTAACCAATTCTCTGTGAATTATGAGGTTTTCCAGTCTGTGTTGTGGGAACAGGTACTTTTCCCTGCCCCGTGTAGGCTTTGGATACTGTTCTCTGGAATCCTTTCAGATGGTTCTTTCCCTGACCTCTACAGTTCCCTCACTTGTATGTGCTGTCAGTTCTCTACCGAATACGCAGGAGGACCTTCTGCCCGTCTCTGGAGTTCTCTTTCTGCGTAGCTCTCTCCTCTCCAGTACTCTGCCTTGTGAACTCCAGTTGCCTTTGTCTCTCTGGACTCTCAGCTCCATTCCCTTACCTCAGAGGGTGCACCGGGCTCCTCCAGGGTTCCTCTTTACTCTGTAGCTTGGGAACTCTCCCAAGGCGGTAAGCTGGAGCAGTCATATGACTCACATCATTTGTTCTTGACTCTCAGGGGTCACTGTCCTTTGTTGCCTAATATCCGATGTCTTGGAAACCGTTGTTTCATATATTTTGTTTACCCTCACGCTAGAGGGTAAATTCAGTACCTCTTATTCCATCTTGGCTGGAAGCAAAAGCCCCCATTCCTCTTAAAGTACTTAATTTTGTCTAAATTAAGTAGTCTTGAAATTCGTTATATTTGATACACTTTAAGTTTTTGGTTCTTTAACATTTGTTTATTTCTGTAAAGGCAGTTGAACTTCTATTTCTCCTTCATTAATACCCTTTTTATCAAATTAAACATTACACATCATCTTTCATTGGTTTACAAATAGGCATTTAAACAAAAACAGGATATATACAGAATTGGATTCCTTGTTTATTTTCAAATGATCCACATCAATAGTATATAGCATTTAAAGGACATAAGTGATGGTGGGAGGAGTAGAAGTTGGGATGCAATAATAACAGATTGTATAGGATATTTGAAAAATAATTTTAAACATTACTCATGTATGAATAAATAGCAACAGTGGTAGGCTAATGTATTAGTTTGTGAGGGTTGCCATCACCAAGTACCACAGACTAGATGGTTCAAACAACAGTTTATTTTCTCACAGTTCTGGAGGCTAGAAGTCTGAGGTGAAGGTTTTGGCAGGGTTGGTTTCTTCTGAGGGCCATGAGGGAAGGATCTGTTCCTAGGCCTCTCTCCTTGGCTTAGAGATGGCCGTCTTCTCCCTGTGTCTTCACATCATCTTCCTTCTATAAGTGTCTGTGTCCAAATTTCCTCCTCTTATGAGGACACTGGTCATATTGGATCAGGACCCACCCTAATGGGCTCATTTTAATTTGATTACCTCTGTCTGCCTCTGTAAAGACGCTATCTCCAAATACAGTCACATTTGGACGTATTAGGGGTTAGGACTTCAACATAGGAATTTTGAGAGGAACACAATTCAGCCCGTAACAGCTGATTTTCCAATACATACTATTTTAAGAAATACTGATGTTTTTAAGAATACATACTGTGAAAAGGTGAAATAGGGACATGGACCGTAGTTTCTTACTTTGTGGGTCAGAGTCGCCGACCTGAGTCTAAGGATCGCTATAGATGCATTTACATTACGTTATCAAAACTGTCTGTGACTTAAAGAATTTTGAGATCACTGTTGTTCATTAAGTGTGTCATTGAAATGATAATAGCAAACTCACATTTTATTTTAGGTGTTTAGTATTTTCATATAAAATGTTTTCATCAGAATTGCTAGTAAGACAGTCTTAACCTGATCCCCCACCACTCACACACACACTTCAGTAAGATTTAATTAACCTGTTACATCTAGATACTCGGGGATTACAGAAGTAGAAGATATCTCTGACCTAAACATGCTGTTTTGTTTTAAAACAAGACATATATACTGCATTAAAAGTAAAAGTTCATCTAATATTGCTTTTCTGTTCATTGTTAGTTTGATAACTTGAAGTAGATAACATTTCTCCACATCTTTTTCCTCCATACCTCTTTCCTGAAGTAGATAACATTTTCCACATCCTGTAACTTGGATGTTATATCCAGCACATATGAGTGTGAGAATTAAATGAAAATATATATGTTAGCACTGTGCTTAACAGCAAAAAAAATCAATAAATAATAGCTGCTATTATTAATGTGGTTAATTTGGATTATTGCAGTGATAAGGAAAGCAGGAATATGAAGATCCAAGGATGGAATTTAGTGTGGTAGATTTGAGTGTCGGTAAGGGAGACGTGTCTGATTGGGATGGAGGATTTGTATCAGGACAGTGGTTTCAAACCATGTCAGACATCCCTTAAAGGTGCCTCAAGGATGGACAAGGAATGCTTGACTGGGAAGGAAAGGAAGAAGGCCACTCTTAGCCAGAGCAGCTCTTGTTTTCATCAGTTTTATGTATTGAGTATTGGGCTAGAAAAAGAAGGTTGAAAATCCCTGTTCGGTGGTACAAGGCTGTTGGATGGTTAGAGGTATGAAAATGAATCCTCAGTAACCCAAAGTAGGTACTAATGAGATGAGTGAAGTGCAGACCTTTTAGTAGTAGTATTTAAAAGCAGCTAACAGAGTAGTATTGAGTCAAGGTCAAGATCTTGTCTGATGACGAGTACTGATTTAAAAACAGAAGCATGTGCTGTGTTAATGAATTTCTTAGAATTGACCATATTTGCAAATGATTGATGAGAAATGAAGATCCACAGAATCTGGGAACCTGATTAATCTTGAGACTAAGGTATCTGCTGAGGCTTCAATATGGATATTGAAGTCTGTCGGAGTGATGGGCGTGGAAAAGAAAAAAGTCAGATATTGGTATCAGTTAGCTGGGTAGAAATGAATAGTAAATGTTAGTAGATAATAATAGCAGCTTATGATTTGAAAGAGTTGTTATAGATGAGTAGCAAAATTTTTAAGTGGTAAAAAAATGAAATAGCCTAGTAATTAGAAAACAGCAGTACAGAATACAAGTATTTCCCATGTGATTCCTACCATTTAGTCAAGGGTGGGAATAAGGAATAGGAGTGGGCTCTGCATCCATTGGAGAGAGAGCTAAAGCAGATGAAATATTCCTTGTACAGCCAAATTACTCCTGAGGTAAACAGATATAGGCAAGAATTAAGACATTAGCTTAGAAGGAAGATTCCTTCTGTAGAAAGGGAGTTCCTCAAAAGATAATAAAATAAAGAAGCCATGAAAAAGCTTGATAGAAAGCAGAGAATAAGTTTGGGAACTGAGGTTTGGAAAGTTGCAATAAGAGTGAAATACGTAGTGCACAGGATTCAAGTATGTTAGGCAGTAGGAAAAAGGATAGTAGTAGAAGGAAGAGGTGTGTAGAATATAGGGGATTCTGTTTTTTCTGTAATTGGGTAAGTTAAAAAGGATGTCTGGGCACAGACATACTGGGATGAGTGAAAGTCGATATCACAACTGTAAGTCATTGTATTTTCCCTGCATATCCAGAAATGGTAAATTGAAGAATTCTCAGAGGCAAGCTCTATAGAGTATCCTCTGTCTGTAAGTTAACCTCTTACAGTCCTGCTCAGCCCTTGGAGGCCTCTTATAGACTTATGAAATCGCCCCAAGTAGGTAGGAAGAGATAGGAAGACTAAGAGACAGAGTAATTCATATCTCAGTACCATCCCTTACACAAATAAGAGTGGGTACAGTTTTTATAATAATGTGTTGTATTTAAAGACATTCCACAGCGTATTTATTGGGCATACCTTGATAAGTACTGAAAATACAAAGATGAGTGAGATCTTGTACTCACAGCATCCAGAGTATATTGAATCAGTTGGCCATAAGAATAAACTGGTTAGTTTCTATTTCCTTTCATCCTAATATCCTTAAATTTATTTTATTTAGTGGTAGAAGATGATGAAGATGACTTTCCTACAACACGTTCTGATGGAGACTTCTTGCATAATACCAATGGTAATAAGGAAAAGAGTAAGTAGTACATTTTTCCTCCTCAGCTGGATAAAATACACTTTTGAAAGTTATATAATAACTAACTATAGGGGCCGGCCCCGTGCCTTAGCGGTTAAGTGTGCGTGCTGCGCTACTGGGGGCCAGGGTTCAGATCCCGGGTGTGCACCAACGCACCGCTTCTCCGGCCATGCTGAGGCCGCATCCCACATACAGCAACTAGAAGGATGTGCAACTATGACATACAACTATCTACTGGGGCTTTGGGGGGGGTGGGAAAAGGAGGAGGATTGGCAATAGATGTTAGCTCAGAGCCGGTCTTCCTCCCCAAAAAGAGGAGGATTAGCATGGATGTTAGCTGAGGGCTGATCTTCCTCACAAAAAAAAAAAAAAAACAAGATAAAGATAACTAACTATATAACAAGATAATTATCTGAGTAATTTTTAAAAAGCAGTGGAACTGCTAGAAAGTGAAAGTTTCTTCTAGGAAAAGAGGTGGGTAAAATACACATTCTGACATTAGATAATGAGTGGCCATTATTATTTAACCAAGACTCATTCTGAATTCCAGGCATTGGCTCACTTATTTCAGCAGCATTTGGTAGAATCAGTTTCTACTTCTGAAAAAGTTTATTTCTTAGAGGGGAAACATTGCAGTGGAATTTGAATATATCTTTAGAGTATATTTCTCTTTGTTTAACATTTTTTTTCTCTCTCCATTTGACAAACTGGTGTTGAAAAGTATATGATCAGTGTTATTAAAGGAAAATTATTTAAATAGCTCTGATTTCACAGCACAGTTGTTTATAGACCCAGGAGCAAGGTGGTTTATTTCATATACCAGTTTATTAATTGTTGCTCTATTTATAATGGCTAACTCATTAGATGGAATTCTGAATTGTTCATTAGAAACCTGTGTTTTGCAACAACATAGATGAACCTGGAGGCATCATGCTAAGAGAAATAAGCCAAAGACAAATACCACATGGTATCACTTATGTGTGGAATGTTAAAAACAAACAAACAAACCCAGAAGCTTGTAATTCATAGTCAGTGCTCTTCTTTTGACATATCCTAAGAAAAAGCTGGAGTGGATTCCCCAAATTTTTTTGTTACGAATAAGCCTTTGTGAAAAAAATAAGTTAATCTAACTGTGCTTATTTTTGCTGAAGTAATGAAGGAATATGAAGTAAAATCTGTGGCTGTGGCATATTTTCAAGTAATTTTTTAAATTGTTGAATGCATGGAAATAATTTTCTATTTTAGAGGTCATATTGGAATATTCTGTTGTTGATAATAAAATGTAATGCTTCTCTCCCTCACCTTTTCCTTCTTTCCTCTTCCTCTTTCTTATTTTCATCATGGCTCTCATTTTTTTCCTTATAACCTACCTCCCTCTCAATCTTGCAAAGTACTAGCTTCATTTTACAAAGTTGTCCTTATAACTTGGGACTGAAATGTTGAACCTTACTGAGTCGTCCAGATTTATATATCTTTATGGAATTAGAGCATTATTTTGGGAAGGTTCTTTCAGTTAAATTTTAATTTCACAGCGAATAATCTGCTTTAATAGAAAAAAGATTTTGTTTGGATATTGGGAAAATTACTGAAAGAAGTTGTAAAACTCCCAGGTCTAATCTTCCATTCCACATATACTCAGCTACCCCATGAACTACAGAGTTCTAGATTCAGGAATACCTAGCACAGCAAAAGATAGGTGTATTGGCCTATCAATATAGTGATTAAATGGAAATTTGCACACTGATAATTAAAATCTAACAGCATTGTTCTTCTGCTTATCTCCAAGAATTCTGGTAGCCAGGGACTAAATGAAAATGTATGTCCTGAAAGATGCAGTCCCTAGCTCCCTTCTCTTACTTTGTTTCCGGAATACCCATTAACCAAACACGTATTTTCTGATACAAAATTAGAAGGTAACTCTGGAGACACTGAATGACCACAGAAAAAAGACCTATAAATAGAGATTTTGGGGACATCCACCGTGAAAAAACTATCTCACTACCAGGTCACCCTTTGATGAAGTCCACTAGTTAAAAAGCCCTGCTGGTACATATAGAGCTTCCAGTACCTAACTCTTAAATATGAATGGATAGCCAGATCTCCAGACATTTGAGGAAAGCCTCCAACATCTCTTTTTTGAAGAGACTTAAAACCAAGCTATAGAAGACAGGGTTATTAAAGTCATTTAGAGAAATACTCTACAAGATGTCTGCATAATTATTTAAATCATGAGTCATGTTTTAAGTATACTTGTGGTATTCACTGTTTAAAAATAATTCCTTTCTTAGTGTTGATGGAAGTTAACTCTTGTTAATCACCATAGATGAAAAGTGTCTTTCTGTGGTTAACCTTTAGAAATAAGTTAATCTGCAGCATTGGGTATAATCTGGTAAAGTGAGCAGGACATGCTGTCTTTAAATCTGGAACTACTTGATCATAGTCTGGGATTAGGGTGTGTCAGTCATCTCTCAAATACAGAGAGGGTCTTAGTGCTAGATCCAACAAGCTTTGAAAAAGGGAGAAAAGACACTGTTCTTGGGAGTGATCATTGTAATGATTTTCACCATTAGGGCCATCATTAAAGATAGTGCGTATGCTGAAGTTTTTAAAAATTTAGAACTAGCTTACCAACCTGCTAGTAAATATTCCAAGAATAGGATTAGGGGGTAGAGGTGAAGACTAGAGGAAGAGTAAAACTTGCAGAGATTCTAAGATGAGATTAAAGGCACTTAAAGTAATTTGAAGATTAGACCAGAGGAGAAATTTTCGGATAAGAAAACACCTTCCTTAGTTAGAGTAAAGACCTCAAGAGTTCTAGATCATGGTGGAAGGACTGGTTCCTCAATCTTTTGTGAACAAAGTTCTTATCTATCTCTAATGTAAATTTTCTTCTGTTATATTCTATATCTAGTCTTTCTTAATTTATATTTCTAGAGATAACAATTATACACATAGCTGCATGTAACAACAGAGCCTCCAAGTACTTGAAACAAAAACTGACCAAATTAAAGAGAAAAAAAGACAATTCAATAGTAATAGTTTGAGACTTCAAAACCCAACTTTCAATAATGGATAGAATAAGTAGGAAGAAGATCAACAAGGCAATACAATACTTGAATAGTATAAACAAACAGACCTAGTAGCATCTCCAGAACACTGTACCCAACAATGGGAGAATATATATTCTTCTCAATTGCACATGCAAGATTCTTCAGGGTAGACCTTAGGCTTAGCCATATAACAAGAATCAGTTAATTTAAGATTGAAATCATACAAAGTATGTCCTTCAACCACAATGGAATGTAATCAGAAATCAATAATAGAAATGTGGGAAATTCACATATATGTAGAAATTAACACACTCAAAAATAACTAGTGGATCAAAAATGAAATCACAAGGGAAATTAGAAAATACTGGGAGATGAATGAAAGCAAAAACACAACATACCAAAACTTAGGGGCTGCAGCTAAAGCAGAACTTGGAAATTTGTAGTTGAAACACCTTTATTATAAAAGAAGAAAGAGACGCGAAAAACAGCAGAGAAAATCAATGAAACTGTAAGTTGGTTCTTTGAAAAGATAACAAAATTGACAAACCTTTAGCTAAGTTGATCAAGAGAAAAAGGGCAGAGACTCAAATTACTAAAATCAGAAATGAAAGCAAGGACATTACTACTGACTTGACAGAAATAAAAAGGATTATAGGGGAATGCTGTGAACAAATGTATGCCAACAAATTCGATAACTTAGGTGAAATGGACAAAGGTCCTGCAAAGACACAAACTACTGAAACTGACTCAAGAAGAGAGAAAATCCAAATAGACCAAAAAGAGATATAATTAGTAATAAACTTACCTCAAAGAAAAGCCCAGGCTCCGATGGCTTCACTGGTAAATTCTACCAAACATTTAAAGAAGGACTAATACCAGTTCTTCCAAAAAATAGAATAGGAGGCACACTTCCTAAGTCATTCCCTGAAGCCAATTTTACCTTGATACCAAAACCAGACGAAGATACCACAAGAAAAGAATAAACTACAGACCAATATCTTAGGAAAACCACAATTAACATCACACTTAATCATGAAAGACTGAATCAGAAAGAAATATAGTAACAAGTGTCGGTGAGAATGTGGAGAAATTAGAATCCTCATACACTGTTGGTGGGAGTGTAAAATGGTACAGCTGCTTTGGAAAACAATGTGGTGGTTCCTCAACAGGTTAAACATAGTGTTACCATTTGACCTAGCAATTTTACTCCTAGGTATATATTCAGAAGAAAGGAAAACATACATCCATATAGAAACTTGTACATGAATGTTCATTACAGCATTAATTATAACAGTCAAAAAGTGGAAATCTGGGCCGGCCCCGTGGAGTAGCGGTTAAGTGCGTGCGCTCTGCTGCTGGCGGCCCGGGTTCAGATCCTGGGCGCGCACTGACGCGCCGCTTCTCCGGCCATGCTGAGGCCGCGTCCCACATACAGCAACTGGAAGGACGTGCAGCTATGACATACAACTATCTACTGGGGCTTTGGGGAAAAAAAAAGGGAGGAGGATTGGCGATAGATGTTAGCTCAGAGCCGGTCTTCCTCAGCAAAAAGAGGAGGGTTAGCACGGATGTTAGCTTAGGGCTGATCTTTCTCACGAAAAAAAAAAAAAAAAGAATTTAGACCACAGATCACTTTTCATCCCCTTTTAGCTCACAGATTTTTCATGTGAGAATATTTTAAATTTAGTTTTTCAGCCAACTGTATCTTATTTGGTTAGAATAATGGTGTCTACAATAGGCTAGTAGTCCCAAACCCCAGTTGATTGTTGACCCTAGTGTGATTGATATCAGGGTCAGAGTCTTCAGCTGTGTTTCTTTTTTATCATAATAGACAGGTGAGAAGAGATTTAAACAAAGTTGCCATCCTGTGTTCCGAAGAACTCGTCCACCAATTATTTTCTGCTGTGTGTTTACACACATACACATGGTCATTTGGAATACTTCGTGTGGGGAAATGAAAAACTCCTCACCACAGAAACTGGGTATTCCCCACTAGGTTGCCTACTATTAAAAATAGTGTGTGAGAGTCTTAATGAAATGAAGGGATTACAAATCTCTCAGCTTCTGTCAGCATTTGTCTATGTGAGCATATGGGTTTCCTCATTTTCTGAGTGTTAGTACCCTTAAAAGAGTTTTGAAGTGTCTAAGGTTAGAGTTCAACTGAAGGGGCTATAAATCTGAATGATAATCTTTGGAGCTTAAATATTTACAAATCTAGATTTATAGATTATTTTGTAATTTCTTCTATTTCTGCCCATCATATGCATGGTTACATTCACATATTTTCTACTTCCTTTTACGACAGTGTATCATTTTCCCAGAGGAAACTAAGGCGTGTCACCTTGTCTCTGTAAGGTCATCTTTCCCTTGTTTTCAGCTGAGACATTGAGATGAGTATGCTCATCTAAACTTATCAAATACTTTGGGGTTTTGCCTCAGTTTTTCCATCCACATTAATTTAGCTCTACAATATAAGGTATATGAGACTTGGAGCAAAAATGAAAGTAACCAGTACTTAGAGGATCCCAGTGGATGACAAGTTAAGATGAGGTTTTGTCTTCATGCCTTTCATTTCCTCATAGATGTAACATGAGAGAAATTTATTTCAGGGACTTTACTGTGTGTGAGACACTTATTTTCAACTGTTTGAAAGCTTAAGAATCTGTTACATAACCCCTTTATCATTCTGAAAAGGATTTGAGGTGA